TGGGCAACTGCACAAGGAATGGCGGGACAGCTACAATACCATGCCTGGTCCAGCAGGTGGCATGGCAAGCCCCTATCAGCACTTTCCCCAATTCTTAATAGAACCAGTAGGGCATTTTATATATCACTGATCATGTTATACAGCTTCAGATTAACATAAATAATAAAAGCCCAATGAAGTAATACTTTTACAATAATAACTTTCCCAATAAATTAAAACTGAGTTTTTCATGATGCCAGTTTAACAGCAGAGAGACATTCAAACAGTCTCTAACAAGCATACATATAGAAACTCAAACAGACACAAACTATTTTCTGCCAAAGAAAACATCCAAACACCTGCTGACGGAGCAGGGAGATGAAACTCAAGCCAAGGGCAGGCCCCGAACACCCTCCGCGCTGACAGTCCTGCCGGCGTTACGCAACGTTTGCCGCTCTGAGATCATCACCCACAACAGGCAGCTCTCTGGGGATAACCCCACAGCGGGAAACACGCCCCCCGGGGCTAGAACTGGGTAACTGCGGGGCGCTGCAAGAAATGCGCCCTTCTAAACAAGGGTTAGGGGGGTTTTAATGAGGCCAGTAGAGTTTACACTGAAATGCTCATTCTGTCTACTGTGTGGTGGAGACTCTACACTGGAGAAATCACTGGCTGTTTGGCGAGTATGCGTTGCTTGCAGAACAGCACACCCTGCTGGTCACACTTATCAGCAGGGCTGCACTATACACCAAGAGCAGGTGAATAGAAAAAACACACACACACACACACACACACACACACACACACACACACACACACACACACACACACAAGCCAGGACAAATGACTCCACAATTTAATAATGTGTCGTCAATAAAGCCATGAGTCGTTTTATATTTATAAGGTAACCTAAGGGCTGTTTATTATAGCGTTAGCAATAAAAAAAAAAAAAGGCTGTATTTCTGCACATAGCTGCATCGTAAAATCATCTACAAATAGTAAAGCCATTTCCCAAACCTTTACTCTTTGTCAGACGGCAGGCTATTGCCATAAAAAGGCCCTGTGCACTGTGATGTTACTGACACTATAGGTAAAAGGAGCTTGTTGCTTTACCGGCATTTTCAGGAATCCGAGCCGTCCCAGTTAAACTACAGCTACGTGTCACAGGCCTCTGGCAACGGCTCTCAGCGAGCCCGAAATAGACCAGGGAAACCGGTGCGTGCTGTGCTAACAGAACCCAGAACGGCTGCGTGCTGATCGGCCTACCAGCACCACGAAGCCTGGCCTGCCCCGAGAGACGCAAGGAGCAAAGCCCGGGGTTTCCAGACGTAAGCAAGAGCAGAGACACGGTACTGAGGCAAACTCCTGAACCTCCACTGAACCTTCACACTCACACAAGTGAAACATTTTCACGGCATCAGAATAAAACCATCAGCGCCGGCTCAAGACCTACTCGCTTACCAGTTCGCAAAACTCGAAGACCAGCAGGAATGGGATGGCTTCCACACACTGACCCAAACACTGCAGAAGGTTGGGGTGCTGCAGGACCCTGGGAACAGAAACGCCACATTACCGGCAACACAAAGGCACTAAGGGGAGGTAAGGGGTAATATTAGTGCTTCATAAAGACATTGCCTGATAAAAAAAACATAAATGCTGCACAGCTGGGGTGTCAAACTCCAGTCCTGGGGGGCCGGAGCCCTGTGTAGCTTAGTTCTTTCCCTGATCCACCACAAATGATTCAGCTCAAGAGCTGTGTGGTAATTAGCACAAGGAGTTGAATCAGAAGTGTTAAATGAGGGGAAACACAAAAATGTGCAGGGCTCCGGCCCCCCAGGACTGCAGTTTGACGCCCCAGCTGTACAGAAACACCATTTAGCTAAGGCCCTGGTACGCATTACCCTTACCCACCGATAGGGGTCACCCTGCTGGAGGAACCTGCTCTGATCCTGGGCACTGGCACTGGCCTTGAGCTCCTGGACCAGAACCCGAGCCACACTGGGCTCTGTGTACATCTCACTCAGTAGGACCTTTCAGGGTTAAACGCCACAGGTGAAACCCAAAGTAACATATGATTGTCTAGTGCCTTTGGACTTTCTCCAAATGGACTTTAAAACCACAAACCATTAAATGCCACAGTGTTATTCTTTACAATCAGATTGCTTCAACTTTTTCCTCTAAACATTCTGCTAAAGGATTCTGGGAGACGAGCATAAAGAATACAATACAGAGAATATTCATAGCATTGTGCCATGATTCTCCACACAAAAATCTCCCTTCAAACTTTAAACCTGAGACAGGCTACGCAAAAATATTTCTTCAGTAATTCAACAAGCGTCCCTTTGAAATAAAACCACGTAAGGGTAAATTAGCATGCGTATCATCGAAATAAAATCGGAAATTAGCTACAGTTTTCATTCATAACACATACACTACAGGAGAGAAGTGGCCAGACTGTGCACACCTTGCCAAACCAGCCACTGCCCACTTCCTGGAGATAACTCAAGTTGTGCCGAATAACCTGAGAGGGCACAGGGTCTTCTGCCAAAGTCAAAGGTGAGCGAGAGAGAGAGAGAGAGAGAGAGAGAGAGAGAGAGAGAAAGAGAGAGTGGGAGAGAGAGATTAGAACAAAGTCCAGAGTCCAGCTCAGCACTGCATGCTACTATCAGCACATTAAGTGGAATATTATCTTCAAACATCAGGCTGCATGACTCCTAACAGCATGTTTAAGTTTGCATAATCAGGCTCGCGGTGACAATATTATGACATCAACTGATACAGTAGCTGAAACAACAGCCAGAATACCTCCTATCTGCTGGAAGTCAATAATATTTATAGCTGGGTATAGGAACAACAGTGGAATAATGAAAGAATTTCCTTAAAAATTACGCCTTTGTCCCATGAGTTTTTACGTTTTATTAACTCAAAGGTAGAGCTGTTAATACTGCAGCCTGCATCAATCTTTAGCTACTCAGCATTTAACTTAATACCCCCGGAAAATAAATGTGGAGGTTTTGCCTCCAAATAAGCGGATCCCGTTTCAGAGATTCCCATTCACCTGTATTTCGAGGTGGCTGCAATTGGGGGGGGCATGGCAAGGCTACCGGGGACACAGCCAGGGTGTAGACCTCGGCTGAGGCGCGGGCAGAAGGCGTGTCTTCGGCAGGGGGGGTGAAATCCAGCTCATCCTCAAAGTTGTCTTCAAATTCCTGAAAGGGAGCAGGACGAGCGGCTTCCTGTCACACTGTATCGGCGATGACGGCTCCTTGGCTGACGGGTTATTTATGTAACTGCAAACGGCTGCACCTGACTGCAGCAAATAAACTAAAACTAGAAGCACCCTTAGCGCTGATGCTAGTTATCAGGCACCGAGTGAGGGAACACAGTGTAACGTTCCCTCCCATATATATCCTGAATCTGGAAGGGATTCAGTTTCTGGTCGCTGACTGCTGTCATATTGAAGGCTGCCCCTTGTGGTGATCCACGAGTACAGCAACTGATGGCCTTTAATCTTCACATGTGGGGGGTGCTTTATCAGTGATTGAAAACTACAGTCAATCAGCGGCCATGACTTAGTGGCGGGACCCAAATACACTGACGGACACCAGTCACGCAGAGGCCGGACCCCCAGCGGGGGTCTGCTCACCTTGAAGTTGATCACCTGCTCCTTGCAACAAGTTGCACAGTTGATCACCGTGACAACCAGCACCACCAGGGCAGCAGCAGACAGCAGCACCACCAGCTCCAGGGATGGACCAGGAGACCCGTCTACAGCACAGAAACCCACGTATAAAGGACCGAGCAACAGCAGCAGCACCAGAACTGATACACAGGATTCAGGTTTTTTTGAATCGAGGTCCAGAGTTGAAGAACCCTGCTGTATATCTTATAAAACTTCGAATGAAATGAATTACACCACATTTTCACTCAGAATGCACCAAATGACAACAGTAAACATATATTGCTTTAAGTTTATAATGTACTGTTCCAAAGGAAACACACATACATTAGCTAAGCAGCTGTACATAGATACATGAAGATTCCAGGTCATGTCACGTCACGCCACTGACAATAGCGTGGGAAAAAAAACAGTAGCTATACAATTAAATGTTACTGTAAGAGCGAACCAGCTAATCAATTAAGCCACAGAGCTACGAGGGTCAGTATCAGATCAAGTTGGCAATGCTAACAGCGGCACAGATAGCTTGCGATCCTGCGGCAGTGTTAATGGACCGGCAGTGGCACCATCACACGTGCCTGTTACGCAGCTGACAGGAGACGATGGTCAAGGTGCACAGCACCGACACGCCTGGAAGGCGTGCTGCTGACTGCCAAGCTTGTGCGGTTGCTCCTTAATGCATCGCTGACTTACTGTTGGAATCCTTGTAAAAAATTAACTCACATCCCGGTGTGGGAACTTGAAGGTGTTTGCGGTTTGGGCTCGTTAGGGGGTGGATGATAAACAGCTATTTGCAAAACTCAGCTATTTCATAACGCGTAAATACGATTTCCTTCTGCGCAACAGTGAAAGCAGCCAACCAAAGAGCTAAATAAATCTATTCTGTAAATATAGATAAATAATGAGGTAAACTTTTTCCAGCGGATCATCCTTTCTCGCAGATACAGCCTGATGGTTAACAGCTCGTGGTTTTTGCACTTGCGGCTATATCTTTGCTATAATTTGCTTCTACGGGTAAAAGGAGAATGAGACGCCTGAAGGGTAAAGATGAAACAGGGAGTCTTCCAAGAACCAGGGAGAGACAGACCATTGTGGTATTTAACCAACAACTTCAGTGCCATTCAGAAACATTTATACATACAGTCAAAACGTCCGATGACCTGAAAAATGACAACATCATTCACTATATCATCTATATGGGTCACTCCACTCTGCAAAGTGACACTCCACCACATGGGGGGAGGGGGGGGTTGGAACCTGGTCCTGTTGCATCCACACTGTGATACAGAAAACTTATAGCAGTCAAGCCTACTTCCACAATGACGGGTGCTGCTCAGTGTAAACTGAACATACAGGTTCTCCTCACTCAAACATTGTGTTTCTTTATATAACACCTCTGAAACACCTCTAATGACAGGTTCACAAGCAGCCGGACGTGAGCCCAAATTACAGCAGAACTATATGACTGAAGATGAGCTGAAATGAAACTTGATTAATACCATTAGTCTGTTTCTCCTTGACCAAGCAGTAAGGTTATGCATGATTTACCTGATCATGTTTTGAGAGACAATTCAAAATATCGACAATTTTTTTTCCCCTTTTGGTTTGCTGTGTACATACACAAACTAGGTCTTCTCCACCATTCTTTTGCATGACATTTCCCAAAGACTACTGTGCTCATGGCAACATGAAAACTGACACTTGATTTTCCTGCATTTGGTTAAGGTGCTGCACCGCACCTAGTCCATGCGACGGCAGCTCCACACGCGGAGAACAGCATTTACCCAACTGCACTCATCGAAGTCAAACTATTATTGAAGAAATCATAGCCTCCTTTACAGAAGTCAATCAAAGTTATAATGTGCAGCTCAAAGGGGTGAAAGGTCAGAAGTGTGAAGTATCTTTTGATGAGAGACCAGGCGTGACGAGGTGGCTCAGTTGTCACGTTAACGAGCCCGGGGAAAGGCCGCTGCGCATGTTATGCCGCATTCCATTTCATTTTATTTCACAGTGGATCGCTAAGCTTGTCACACTGCACCTGCAAACAGAAAACAAATGGCTGCGCAGTATGACCTCTGCGCAGAACGTGAAAACGTGACCCAGGAAATTCACAATAATGCCACAGCTGCAATCCGGAAAGCTAAACATTTACACAAGTTAATTGTTTACCACGACTGATATGAAAGGAGGACGTACGGTTACATGAAGAGGGATGTGTCACGACTGCTAGATTTCAGCTGTACAACAGGACGATGCTGAAACATAGGCAACACTGACACCAACCCTGGTCATTTTCTAAACAGCCCCCAATTAGCAAGCCCCAGTATCTGACTGCACTCCTTGGTTTCACTGAACCCCAAATATTTCACTTCAGTGGAATCATTACTCATCCCTGCTGTTATTAAACCTGCTTTTCACAACTCGGACTACCTACGCATAGCAAATCGGGTAAAAGCTAGTTTCCCCACATTTCTTTAATCACCCATCAGTTCCACAGAAGGAAGAGGGTTCGAGCCCCCAACAAACCCCACTTCCAAATGGATCGTGCATGGAACCAATAAGCAGAGCAGCAGGTTAGTTTTGTGAATTTAGGCTATATCGACTGTTGATGACTACAGGTTTACAAAATTACTCTGACTGCAGATTCAGCTGCTTATTGACGCAGACTGCTGGTGTTTTACTTGCCAGAGATCTCTTTAGAGAATTATTTATAAACTAATGCTTACCTAAATTAATATACACATACCTAAACTATTAAACAGAACTTTTTGGTTACTTTGATTGACGTTTGCCAATTTATTAATAATTTCAGATTGCAATGTTCCTATTACCCACGATTCCAAAAAGGTTAAAAAGACATCAATCGATACTTGTCAGAGATGAATTGCCATACGTATGAAAGATGGAAATCAGATCACTGACTGACTAATAGAATCAAATAACCCTATGTCTGTTATGGAAGTAAAGACGTATAGAGAAAACACACAGTATTCTGAACCGGTATCGCCGTGAGTATAAGCCCAAATAATTTCATCGCTGAGCATCAATCATGTTCATCTTGCCACTTTGAAAACATTAACTGTTCACTTAGTCACTGGAAAGATTGTCACTAGGAGCAGAAACCTGCGTACCTGTAGCTGAATCCGGAAGAGGTGCTCCCTCAGCCCATCTCGGTGCCCACAGGACCAAAATCGATACCCACATCAAACATCCGCCGCGGATCCCCATCTCAATCATTGTAATTACTACAATATATAAATACGTATGGCTTTATGAAACTTGCTAAATAAGAAGTTAATAAGTTTCAGATAAAACGACCCGCATTATTGCCATTGTCGTTCATTTCTACTGCGTCGTAAACCAGGTAGCTGGATTGGCTAACTAGCTAGATACCTAGCAGTTCCTCTTTCGCGGCTACGATTCATTTTGTCTTTAAACAAACGTCTTGACACTTAAAGTGTGTTTGCGTGTACATCTTAGTGTCATTTTGATGAGAGAAACACCACTCTAACTAATATTAATTAAACGAAAATTTCAGACAGTTAAACACCACCGACCGCAGCGCCATTTTCCCACCAAGTGATGTCACAGGAGGCGGCGCCTGCGCGATGGATACGGACGTACGCCGGGCGACGTGACCAATCACGCCGCAGTGCGATGTCAACGCATGCTTCCTCATCCAATCATTCGGCACGCATGGAGTCCTGGGTGTTGGCAAGCAGGGTATGGCTATCGGAGCATCAGTCACTTGACAACCATGTGAGATATTTCTGCAATGCCGGATACACAGACTGGGAAGAGCGAAGCACCGGCATCAAATGGGTTATTTTATTTCCCAGATCATAAAACAAGGCACCCTGAAATATTTTACATGCGTATGCTATGTACCTTACACGCATATTGAGAGGATTTAATAGCAAATTTAGAAAAAATGTAAGACTTGAAATCCACCCATCAAAATACAAGCAGTATAAATAATATATTTGGGACTGTAAATATATCATACGAAAAATAGTGGAATAGGTGTCAATATAATATTTCAACTAATTCCCAGTGATAAAGCTGGGATTTCTGTCTTCAGGAAATACAGTTAAGTATTATACTGAGCAATTTAAAAAAAGACAACTTGTACCAATAATCACTGATAATTATGATATAACAAATATTATAAATAATTAATGATTGACTTTCATCACAGATCAAACCCATTGAGAGTGATGACCTCAACCAATGACTCACAGATGAAACCAAATCTTCTTGTAACTTGCAACCGGCTGAAATCGCTATGAAATCGCTATCTTTTTTTGTATGTGCTTCCCCTGGACTTTAGCATCCTGTTTTGGGGGGGGGGGGGGTTAGTGTGGGGGAGGTCTGTATGGTGTCCCCACTGACTCCGTTGGTGATATATGAACTATTCTGCAGTTGTAGGGGTGAGACTGCATTGTAGTCTCTCCCTTGCAAATGATATAAGCTGCAGTTATTAAGCTGACATGGTTTTGAGCTTCAGGCCTGTTTTTCTTTAAAAAAAAAAATTTATTAATGTGTAAATAAACAATTAAAATTAACCCCTGTAATAAACAATGTCTCTTTCAAGGCATATATTTGAATATACAGCCATAGAAAAAATTAAGAGACCACAGCACAATTTTTGTTTCAGTCGTTCCTCAGTTTATGGGTGGCATCTGTGAATAATATATATTTTTTGCAAACGGCAGCCTGGCTCATCCATGCTTCTCATTGATGAAGAGCTTCTTCCTTGTTTTATGGGACTTCAGTCCTGCTTCTAGGAGCCTGATACAAACTGTCCTACCAGTGCACTTCACACCTGCGCTTAATGTTTCCCATTCTTTTTGAAGGTCACCTGATGTCATCCTATGATGTACGAGAAACTGTCTGATAAGTTGATGGTCATCTCTGACGTTAGAAAGTTGCTTCTGCCCTCTACCTGGTTGGTTTCTGGTCGTTCCCAGTGTCTCCTGCTTCACCTTAATCTTGTATGCTACTGCTCAGTGTGTGCTGCTGCTCAGTGTGTACTGCTGCTCAGTGTGTACTGCTGCTGCTCAGTGTGTGCTACTGCTCAGTGTGTACTGCTGCTGCTCAGTGTGTACTGCTGCTGCTCAGTGTAGCCTTCTGCCAGCCATCCAGGATTAAACCATGATTTAAAAATACAGATTTGTTTAAAAATATAGAGTGGTCTCTTAATGTTTTTCTATGGCTGTATACGTGAATATGTACTGTGCAAAAGCCATTGGCAGTCAAAGATGTTTAAAACTATTCATTACGGGGTAGAATAGTGTACATTTGTTCAGAAAAAACATACAATTTAGCATTAGAATATATGCAAATTAAGAGTAATAAAATAAAAACAAGCCAGAATTTCTTCTGTTCACCAAAAACTTACTGAAATCTAGTTGGGTGGCAAGTTGAAAACCAATTTTGTTCCCAAATCTATCCTCAGGGTCACCTCAGTGATGTATTTGTTGAATTTCATCACCAGCCTCATTAATAAATTAACTTAATTTGTTAAACAACTCAATAAGGTATTGATTAGCTAAACATGATGTGCTAGTCGTTGAGTCAAAAATACATTTGTCTATTGGATGGTTGCTGCAAACACTGGGGTGATTTTAGGAGAGGTTTTGAAAGGGCTAAGCTGACAGACTTTGACAGACATAACAGCATAGTTTTACACAAACACGAAGGTCATTTAAACATATTTTTTTCACTATTGAAGACTTTTGCACAGTGTTGCAGCCTGTGAGGTCACCAAGCAAGGTCTCATGGCATACGTGTCAAGATTATCTGCTCTGATTAGCTAATGAAGGGGCAGGTATTCGGTGACAAATGACTCTCCAGAGACCCAACGTCATACTGGATTTTGTGGTTTTGATCCAATCGGAGCAGAGCCTTGGAAAAGCAAAATTCAGGAAGAAGAGCTCCAAGCAGGGCTATTCCAGGAGAAAAGCGACCGTTACAATGGTCACTGCACCAAAAATCTGCTGAAATGTGGCTGTTATGCTAGTGTATGACTTGTATTTATGTGTGTGTGTGTGTGTGTGCTCATTATTTAAATTGCAAATAACTGCAAAAATGTTAAGCAAACCATGACACAAATTAACTACATCGTTACACATGTGGCGTCTATGGAAAAAACAGTCAGATGTAAAAATTATAAGCAATGCATAGGGAGCACACAGCACTTAATTGTGATTTAATGAATACAACAGCTGTGCATATGGCCTTGTCTGCCTGCTTATGTAATACCTCACTAAGTGCAGGCTGCTGTGACAGAACAGCACTGGGTCTGTGTGGGTCTCGGCGTGAATAGTAAACCTTACAGATCCACAGAACCTTACAGCTGTCCGGACAGGAGTCTGGAAGTGTCAAGGTGAGCAGGATGGGGGGGGGGGGAGGGTTGCTTAGCAGCCAGAACACTTGGCTGAGAAGTGGATGGAATAGACTCGCCAGGGTACTTGGGTCGTGGGAAAGTACGATGGGGTTACCTGGCAACCGGGATGCTTGAGTCCTGGGGGCAGGGGCCAGGGTTACCTGGCAAGGGACTGGTTACCTTGGGAGTGATAATCACCACCAGTATATCAGTTTGTTTATACTGGGTGCTCAGGGGGGCTCTAAATCACAAAAACAATGCAGCGCAGTGCACCCAAGAGCACATCATCATTCACTGGAGGATGTGGTTGCCTTAAAAAGTACTGAGAATTAGTGTCACTGACTTCACGTGTAGCATAAATACCAGTGGGAATTACTGCTTAAATATGACATCAACACATATGGAAATTACCAATGCTGATATTTATAGCATAAATAATTTCCTGTAGTTTAAACAAAGAATTCCTTGTGTAAAGAAAATGTACAATAACAATACATTATATTTTAGTGTGTGTACATGTTGTATATACACATAGTGGCTAGATTACTAGGTACACCTGCTTACTAATGAAAACAGCGAACACTCTGTGAATCATGTGACTGCAACCGAATACATACAGCATGCAGACGGAACCAAGAGGTTCACTTACTGGTCGACTCAGCATCAGCATGGCTAGGACTCCTGACCTAAGCGCTCCTGGACATGGTGTGATTGTGGGGGCTGTATGGGGGGGTCCCAGCCTCCCTCCTGGGATTTTCATTCAGTGTCTAGAGTTTACAGAGATCGGTGTGCAGATCAAACAAAACGTAAATTAAGTGGCATTTCTGGGGCAGAAAACACTTTGTTTATGGGACGTCATGAGTGCAAAATAACAGCACAGTACAACAGTGCTGGTTGGAATGACTCCTCCATCCACTCTTGAAGCAGATCTGGAGACAAAACTAGATCCTACCCGGTGCCAAATGTACCTAATAAAGTGGCCAAAATTGTGGAAACACTTCCAAGTTTTAGAGATTGCAGAACTTTTGTTCAGGAACTGCTGTTCCAGTTACTCATTTAATCATGCAATATATGATATTTGAAACATTCTTTGATGGTTTATAAACACTACCGCCAATATTTGTGTAGTATTTTTAAAAGCGTAATGTCAAAAATGCTGGGTGTTTCCATAATTTTGCCCACTAGTGTAATAAAGTGGTCACTGTGTATTCATAGATAGCTTTATGTGATAGTTTTGAAAATGTTATGAAAGATGACAATATCTGATATAGATATCCTGTGCACTTCATGAAACATTAACAAACAGTAAACACCAAGTGCATGACCGCAGCCAAAATTCAACCACCAATCATTCTTCACTCAAGCAGGCCTGTCTAACAGGTCATGCGCAGATGGACGGAGTGTCTCCTCAGTGCTGGAGCAGGGCTGCAGTGGCTTCACCCAGGCGGAGGAACTTAAGTGCAGGTGTGTGGCAGCTACGGCTGCAGCTACGGCTGCAGCTGCCACCTGTGTTTGTCATTCAGCTCATTATAGTCCACGCTCAATGTGTGCTGCTCTTCGCGGTCTGTCTATTTTATGGTCAGAAAGGTAGCCTAATGAAGCATGTGTCAGGCGGCTTCTGCAGAACAACACTCACGTTGAGTCCTGAGTCCCGGAGAAGCCGTCATGCAGCTTGTTTAGCTCGCTCCCGTCGTCTGTCTCTGCAGGCTTTTTCTGCAGAGCTTCTCGTCTGGGGCCAGAAAGCTCACTGAGGCTGATACCAAAGATCTTCTCCGCACTGGGGACCAAGACGGTGACAGCAAGATAGGAATGGAAGGTACATTCCCTGGGTCCACGTCGGAAGACTGCTCCAGAATTATCTAACGAATGATAATAATGGACAATTATGACAACAATGTTCAAAACCCGGTGCATCATAATTCTCAAAATTCCTTTATTTCTCTCTCCTTTGCATATTTTTTTCAGAGTTTTGCTCATTAATGAAAAGAAGTGAGGAAGTCTGAATATTGGTCCTTGGGCTTCAACAATTTGGTGAAACTTATGCAACAAAAACTAATAAAAATGAAATAATGAATCTTTAAATAAAGTTTTGCATTCTCTAGTTTTGTCTGTTGTACTTTTCTTAACAGATTATCATTCATTATTATTTTTTTTTTTTTATTAGGAAACATGAAAAACGTTGAGGTAGATTGGGCAAATACATTGGAGAAAAGTTTGGAAACCCTGTATCCCAGCAAAAAATGGATTACAAAAGCACCTATTTAATACAATAATATCTTTAATTCGCAAATACTGGTATTAGGGACGTGTGAGATGTAAAACGCCTGATTGCATCCAGGCTGAAAAAAAAATGCTCTTTCGCATTTTTTTGAAAAAATGTGACGCAAGCGGCACGTCATTTTCATTTTAGAGTTGAGTCTAACACCGCCTCCTGCTGGTTGGACGCTAACGCGCGTTTGCGTTTCCTGTAATGCACGAGAGCACATTTTTTTAAAAAAAGAAACAGCTAATATATATTTTCATCAATCCATCCATTTTCTGTACCGCTTGTCCTATTCAGAGTCGCGGGGATATAGATTTCACAGATGATTAAACACGTACATGCGATAAAACACTGCATATTGTATGTCAAATGATCAGACATCGGTTACGACACTTAATTTTACGAGTTGCAAGGATAAGTATGCCTTATTTTTTTTAAGCAATAAAGAAGAACGCGAATGTAATTCTTACAATTCAACAGCGCCTCAATTATTATTCAAAATACTCATAATTATCACTTAAGAATATAGGCTACTTGTTACATGTCAGTTTCTGAGGCTGCTAACGTTTAGCCTGTTGTTTCCCACTAAATTTGGTATTATCATAGATCTAATAAAAACACTAAATTAAAAAATAACTGAATATTTAACGCGCAATATTTTGCTTCACCTTCATGACAGGATATATGCACAGAGAGGCGTATTGATTTAGATACAGTGTTTCTCAGTGCAGTCACTGTGCGGTCATGCCTTAAGGACACTGGCTCCTATAGGTCCAAGCCTTCTCATTAGGTGTCACTATACCCAACCCATACAAAGGCAGTTTACAGGCCATCTCCATTAGCAAAGTGACACTTTTAGAAAGACGTGTCACTCTACTCCTTTAGACCATAAACTCAGGATCTTGCGGTCAATTTGTTAAAACCGTCTAAGGACAACGGAGAGGCTGAAAATGCTGAGCGTGCTCGCGTCAAAAGTCAGATACTTTTGTAAATAGCTATACTACATCACGTAGTAATTGTCACTGGATTTACGCATACGATGCTTCAACATGGAGCAAAGCGGAACTATTTCTAATAGATGCTTATCCCGAAATAACCATAGACCTATATAAGAGTAACGAAGTATCATAAATGATTGCAGAAGTATTTTAAACTTTACTTCTGATCAATTAAAATGATGAGTTGAGACTGCCATTAATATATTTTATATTTTCGCTTTCTATGACACTTTGGGTATTGCCAACCATGTCTGAGAGGTCATCGGGCAGAAGGCTGTGTCATCCAGAGTAAAACATCAATAACTCTACCCGGTGGGAGGGGGGAACTCACATAACAACAACGTTGAATCATACCTCAGCAGTACTGAACCAACACTGACAGCTCAATGGTTGAAAAAAAGTTAACGTTAAATACTTCACTGTCTGAATACATCACTCTAAACGTCATCTGTCGGCATCATCAGATGCAGATTGGAAAGCAATACAACAGCAAACACGAACAAATCAGCACTCAGCCTACGCAATCACAAAGGCGGCACTGTTAGTGACGTCATCCAAAATCGTTATGATGTAATAAACTCTAGTAATTTGGAATGTGTGTATTCAAAAGTGTACTTTAATCTAATAACCATTGCTATAAACCTGTCAACGCTGCACAGGAATGTGGGAGACCCAGTACTATGAAAATAACTCAGAGTATTATGGTCCTTAATTAGCCTACATAAAGGACCAGTATAGAGTTCTGACTGGAAGTGTAACAGGAGCAGTAGTAGTCTGCAAATTAAAGAAACCACATAAAACTGTATTGCCCAGTGAATTTAAGTCCTACTGTACAGACAATCTCACATAGGCTATTTTTTCTAGCCAGTCATGTTTTAATTGGCCTAATACATTTCAAAACCAGGCCAGAGGTGATGTGTAGAACGTTTAATGCTCAATTTCTTCGTCCCAGCTTTGTAACAACAACGTTGATGTCAATATCGTTTTTTTAGTCTAAGCTAAAGGTCTGACAAATACTCACGTCAGAGGTTAAAAGTCAAGCCACTAACCAAATTAAGTCAGCACTGGAATCTGTTGTAAATTCCAGACTGATATTGATTGTAAAATATAAAAACGAGTATTCATCATTGGTATATAATATAGGCTGAGTGGACGGTGGCGAAAAAACTTTCAGATTACGAAACACCATAGACCGCCATACGACTCTGTGCTGATTCATAAATACACATATCCCGAAGCTTTGCATTCTGCCTTGGAAACTGAAATTTAATCTTTTAAGAGTTCACACCCTGCCATAAATAACATCTAAGAATTCAGATCATATTCTGACTACCGTTTTTTTTTCTTAAGGCTAGATTGGACAAAAAAAATAATAAATAAATAAGCAGAATGTAAGATCTAAGAGTACTTTCCACTGTTTGACTTAATAACGTGGCGTGCAGGCGACAGAGTAAGCGCATTTTAGACATCGTGCCTTAGCAGCGAATTTCACAGATGAGGATGCATCTCAGCATCCTCATCTGTTAAGTTAAATATAGCTCAATTTGACAACTGGACACATTTTCACCAAAGTATTCCCAGCGATGCGCATTGGTATCCATTACAAAACCTTGCTGTATTTGGTGCGAGTCGCAGGTATATAAGAAGGGTAAATACGCGCACCCCACAGCGGCGACTCGGTTCTCATTTCGGGTTTCACGGAAGCTCCAAGGTGAGTAACTTGGGGCAGAGTCCGAGGGAAAGGGGGCGACGCACATACTTCCGGCAGACCTTCGGAAGACGCAGACTCCTATCGCCATACACCAATTCTCAATCTCCGAGGCAATCTAAATCATACAGGCATTGCTATACAGATGGAAAAGGCGACGCATGCGAAGACATTTTACTGGAGTATGTTCAGATGGCGCGCTAATTCCGATGGGATGTGACCGTGAATTGGTTTAATTAGACTTTCACAGAACAGACGACGGAGCATCTTCAAAATAATTAAGTGAAACTGGAAGACAGTTTATATAGAAGAGGAAGCATTTAACAGCCTTTTTAATATTCCCGGACGTTTAAGGCAATTCAAGTGCATACGCTTCATTGATTGATTAGTTGAAGTTTTTGCTGGTTGTTACCCTATGATTGCATGAGCTTGCTGATGACTGTCAGTAATAGTTTAAATTAATACAGAAGGACGTGTGAATTGATCAAAAAACCGACTAGTCCACTGGAGGATAAATTTTGTGGCGTTACTGAATTACTGATTTCTGAAGTTAGTTTATGCATGCTGTGCAAAGGGAAGCAAATCTAGCCTTCAGAATTGTTAAGGCATTTGAGTGTTGTTGATTGTCTTAAATTGCTGTTTAGAGCTCTGATATGCCTAATTTAAATGGAATATTGACAACACAATGTGGTAATGAGCAGGGGGGCATTTGAAACAATGACTCAAATGTACAATGTATTTCCGAAAAAGAATTCAATGGAAATTAACTATTTTATCTTATCTACTGTATGTATTCCAGTGAAAAAACACAACAATGGCCCTTGCTAGTGTTCTGAAGGAAGCTGACATCACTGCAGCCATGAAGGACTGCCAAGGTAAGCCTGCAGCCCAAGCTGGGGCGCTAAAGTACAACTACAGAATCACAAACACATATAGACAAGCGCGGAGTCTACGAACACAGGACCACACACATTTACAGGGAATTCATGGGTACAAATACTATTTCCTCAACAGGGCTACCCCAAAAGCAAAGATACTACCTCACAACTATACAACCAAACTAAAAGCACTCAGTCACAACAACCCAGCTCCAGATCTACAGTCACAAACAAAACAGCATTATAATAAGCACAAGAACAGCCGCGCGTTCACAAAACTACACAATCACAAACAAAACGGCATTATAAAAAGCATGAGAACAGCCGCACGTTCACAAAACTACACAATCACAAACAAAACGGCATTATAAAAAGCATGAGAACAACCGCACGTTCACAAAACGACACCATCACAAAAGTCACTAAACAGTCACAACTCAAAACTTAAGAAAAACTTTGTCACAATGACAATGAAAAATATCCTTCAGTTACTGTCAGCCAAGACACATTTAAGATTCACTAGTAAAATAATGAAGAGTTACTGACTAAAAGTCTGGTGCAATTAAATTGACGCAGGATTCTGGTTCAATATTGAGTGCTTAGGAGTTGGTGGAATAAATTACACATATTTGTGAACTTATCAAAGGAAAATACTTGCTTAGCCAAAATGTAAAAGAGAAATTAGGTTACATTGGCTTGGCTGAAGCTGAAGCAGTATGGAAGCTTTCAATGAGAATCCTTTGACTTCTACCAATCTTATTCCACAGCCGCTGACTCCTTCAACTACAAGAGCTTCTTTGCCAAGGTTGGACTGAGCAGCAAGTCCGCTGATGATGTCAAGAAGGCTTTCGCCATCATTGACCAGGACAACAGCGGCTTCATTGAGGAGGATGAACTGAAGTAAAGATCAAATCTTAAAAGCAAATGTAGCCTCTTACCCAACGCACATATGAAACTCTCCCTAATATCTCTGTCTGTCCTCCCATTCAGGCTGTTCCTGCAGAATTTCTCTGCTGGCGCTCGTGTCCTGACAGACGGTGAGACGAAGACCTTCCTGGCCGCAGGAGACAGTGACGGTGATGGCAAAATTGGTGTGGACGGTAAGGATGCTCAGTTTGACCCTGAGCCCAGCCTCTTCTGGTAAAGGCGTAGAAATAGAGATGTTGCTGAGGTAGCAGAAAGCTGGCATTTTCACCTTCTGAGAGGAAGACTGTACTCCGTGGCTATCACTGTCATCCAAATGGCAGGCAGTATTTCTAGCTTAATTTGATTCCTGAATTTAATACTTGATCAGAACAGTTTGGGGAAATAGCTGAGTGTTTGGTGAAAATCATTCGCAATCAAGTAAACAATGCTGTAAGATTTTACCCTTTTGGATCAATATACTAATGATAGCTTTATTTATTCTTTAACACAGAGTTCGCTGCTCTTGTGAAGGCATAATTACCATCTGACCAAGATTCAACATCTTTACATGGAAAAACAACTCCTAACAGAACTACTAAACACTCTCAGATGACCAGTACCCATTTTTATATTGCTTTTCAGTGACATTCTGTATTTCACCTCAGAGCGCTGTGTCCTTTAGGTGTATCGTTCTTGTTGTTTGGATGTGCTTGATGTTCTTAACACGATGTGTGCAAGATCAAAATCTTCTGTGCACTTTTGAGAAAGGGTGGAAAATCAAAAAAATAAATATTCTTTTGGAATAAGCTGTGAAAAAGCCAAATGAATTCAGATTCTTGTCTTTGCATGGTAGCAATGCCATAACAAGTAGAATTTCATGGTTACAAAAAGTATTTTTGTAAAAGTAATATATATCAACCTTGAATATCCTATGAAGATATTTGCAAAATTATTTAAAACTAAACTTTCAAATAACACACATATAAAATGACAGATATTTTTTATATCGATTTAAATTTTATATTGAAGCCAGAAATGGTTTGAAACGTTTTGTAAATTTCAGAGGTTGACAAAAAAAATGCAGATGTGTGGAAATAACCTGAGCATGCAGTCAGAGAGTGGATTTGGCAGAAGATTGTCTAGGCTTCTACCCAGTGCTGGCAGTGCACACTGATGAGAGAAGGCATGAAAGTTCTGCACATGCTCAGTTCCTAATAAGTGTCGAATCAGGCAGAGATTTATAATCCACGAAGCATGAACATTCTAAGACATGCAACAATACAAGCGTTACTAGTGTTAAAATTAAATATTTACCGCTTCACAGAACTTTAGTGGTTTTTCACCGGAAACGCTGGGAAAGTGACGCGCTTTCAGCGTCTTGGTTCCAGAGCAGTAAATGGAGCAATGCTGCCACCTGTTGGTAAATCTTGGTAAGCGTACAGGCGGTTTTTAAAATTTATTTTAAAAAGTTCGCTGTTCAGAAATGAACAAAATTTTGGTAAGAGCTGTGCTTTTGTACCGCTAGAATAAACACCAAATGCATGACAACATGCGTGATACAAAACAAAATTAAAAAATGGAATTTAGATGAATATCGAAACGAATGCGATATGTAGAAATCTTAGATTTGTTTAATAAGTCAGAAACAAAATACCTTTGAAGGTCCTCTAATTTTGAGATGTTATAAACCACCAACAGACTATATGCACGCAGAAACGCGAAAAGGGGGTCGATATAAAAAGCGGGACACAAGAATTTAACACGCGAAAACACTAGTCTCTTTTATATACAGAAGATAAGAAAGAGTTCTAAAAGTACAGTTTACAAATTACACGTTGCATTACCCAAACCCGTATATTGTCAATTCGCCGCGTTCACAGCAGTCGTGTAGGCTAGTTGACACGAAGACCCAACACACTAACGCGCCTGCACCGACAGAAATAAATCCGTGTGCTGTTTTTATACAATACATACAGACATAATTAAATAATTCCATAAGTAATACATAGAAATATACACAAAGACAAACAAGGGATTTTCGAAAGATGTTACGAAGCTCCGCGTTAAGGCTGCGTGAACCTCACGGGTGAGCGGCGAGCCAGCCGCGGATTTCTGTGATAGCAGGGCGGGAATCCTCCAGCAACTGGCGTTTCATCTATATCAGCAGCATGTATTATTAGCATTGCAAGATATTAAGGACTTTTTTCAAACACGAACCTTTTTAAGCATCTTCATTTATGAATACAAAAATAGAACGGACAGGCTACTGGACACATTTGACCAACCCCTCCTTCTGGTGTCTATTACATTATGCCTCAAATTTCTGCGGAGAGAAAGTATATAAGGTGGCAGGCTGGGATGAGTGGATCACTGCAGTGGCTCGACTCGTCTGAATCCAGTCTATAGACTAAAGGACATCTGAGGTGAGTTTTCTCCCGAGGAGGTAGCCGTGAAAATCATTCCGCCACTCTTTTACTCCGCATTAATGGGACTACAAGATTGCGCATCATCGAAGACGTAAAACTTTTTAAATGGTATTTTTTTGCCATTGGACTTTTCCGGGAAGGGGATGGACACGTTTACAAACTTTGCCTCCATTATGAAGAAGACCAATAAACCCATCTTACAGGATAGAGGATGGGATTTAGCATCTTAATAACTATGAATTAATAATCACATGGCATGGACGTTTTGATTGACGCGTGTCGCATATGAAAGGACTCTCAAAAAATCAGTTGTATGATTTATTATTATTACTAAAGATTTAAATGAGTTACATTAGAGCGCCAAGCTTTTTATGTCAACTTCAGTCAAATTTCAGCAGAAATTAAAATTTTCAACAAAGTCGTAAATATCATGTAGCCTAATACGATTTAGGCATAGTGACATCTCCAAAATCAGGTGTGCATGTGCATAATTACAAGAATAGATAGAGACAATATTTGACGTAAAACATATCACTTTTATAAGGTTCATTCATTTTTTTCCTTTCCATCCTTTCCAACAGCTAAAAATGGCTTTCGCCGGAATTCTGAACGATGGCGACATCACTGCAGCCCTGGATGCCTGCAAAGGTGAAGCATTTATTTAAAATCCAACTTTAATACCTTCATATATATTATGCGGTTATATTCAGTTTGAATGTGACGAAACAATGAACATTAAGAGCAAACACAATGACTGTACAAAGAAACTGTTCTTGCAAGATTATTTTTGAGACGAAACATTTTGTATCCATATTCTAACAGTTCAAAGGCACCAGGAAGATAAGTAATGGCGTTCCGTTTGTTTCCCAGCCGCTGACTCTTTCAGCTACAAGGCCTTCTTCGCGAAGGTGGGACTGAGCAGCAAGTCCGCCGACGATGTCAAGAAGGCTTTCGCCATCATCGATCAGGACAAGAGCGGCTTCATTGAGGAGGATGAACTGAAGTAAGACGCTTTAAAATGCCCAAAGCGATATGAATACAAAAATACCCCGTTTAGCTTAGTTCGACACAAAAATAATAGATTTTACTTAATTCTAATTATCATTTAATTGAACATGAGAATAATCATTGTGAGCGAACTTAGAATGCCATTGACAAAATGACTAAATGTTCTGCAGCTGGATGGGGTACCAGTTGGCACTGAAATTGCCGCATTTTGTCCGCTTCTCCAGGCTGTTCCTGCAGAACTTCAGCGCTAGTGCCAGAGCTCTGACTGACGCCGAGACGAAGACCTTTCTGAAAGCTGGAGACTCCGACGGTGACGGCAAGATCGGCGCTGATGGTGAGCGCCAGACACAGTCGCGGTTGTGATGCAAGATCTGCAGCACTTTACAAAGCAAAAAAAAAAGGCTAATACGTTTTAGTATTAGAGGACTAGTAAAATTGGCCTACTGAGAAAAAACAGAGGCCTTCCAAAGGGAAACTACTAATCAGCAAAGCCCTAAACGATTTAGACTTCATTTCCCAATACAATAACAGTAGAAACTATAAAATTCGTTTTTGTAATTAGACCAGACGTGCGCAACTCTTTCCACAAGTTAATCTTTACGCATCTTATTTTACAGAGTTTGCTGCCTTGGTTAAGGCGTAAACAGAGTCCGACCAACAGCACTCGCCTTGAAGGAACAACTTTGCCGAAGACCTCTCATTTTCATCTGAATATAAATAATTTTTTTACATTTGCGTATGTCCGGCCTCCAGTCTCTCCTCCTATACAGCACACCGTCCAAAGTGAAGATGTAAATGTAGCACCACTTCTGTTTCTTGTCTTAACATATGAATTTTGCTTTCTATAAAATCTATGATGCACTTTTCGGGAAACGGATAATAAGAAAAGAATAAATATTCTTTTGCAGTAACACGCAGTCTTGCTTCTTTTTCCTTACTGCTGATCTCTACAGGTTCCACTTTTTTTATTCAGGAATCATGGATAAATATTTTAACATCACCACGTTCAGGGTGTCCCAGCCTCGTGCCCTGCATTTCCTGGGATAAGCTCCAGATTAAACACTACCCTCTAGTGGATATGCAGTTACAGAAGATGGATGGATAGGTATTTTAATTAAGACGTTGTGACGCAGCAGGCCATAATAGATACATTAATTTCACGCAATCTTGGACATTCATAGCCGTGACGAATTCATATTAGGTCTGTGTAGAACCGCCCAATCACATCTATGCATCGTCCAATCACATGACACAGTACCTGCAGCGCGGAACAGTGTGCCTCAAGAAGGCCGGGCAGGATTATTGGCCCGTGATGTGCAGGCTACTGTATGCGGTTATGCATGTCTACTGAAATGGCAGCAGGCCATAATCATAACTTCCCCAGGCTTGACAGTAATACTTGGGAAGTCATTCTCCTTGAGCTTTCTCAGCAGCTGCCCATTACCTTGTTTAGAAGCGTGAAGCCCTACGCTCCTCAGTGCTGCCCTCCAGTGGTGAGCCGCAATCTTGCTAGATGAGGATACTCCCAGCATTACAGCTCACGCTTCCCAGCTCACGTTGACCCACTGTCTTTCCATCCAAGCCATTCCAAGTGTTTGTTTAAGTCTTGACCTAACTGGGTAAGTAACAGCCTCACTACAGACAGGATTATACCTTTTCTACAAGCAAATTATGCCATTCCACACATTAAAGTTCTTATGGATTGTTATGGTTATGGTTATGGTTAATGGGGACTTATGGGCAACGGTCCACTATCCAATCATGTTCTGTGACTGTTTATCCAAAGCAGGGTCATGGTTGGCATAAACAACAACTCAGGAATCACATGTCGTCAGCGAGGGGAGCACCCTTGGTGGAATTCCAGTTATAATAGCCTATCAAACAAACAAACAAATAAATGGATGGATGGATGAATGAATGAATCAATGAATGAATGAATCAATGAATGAATGAAGTTGTATTTGGTCTGTGAAATTGTAGTCAAGTTCCCACACATTTTTATTGGATGAATGTGAGAAAATACATTAGTAAATTTATCGGTAGCTATTTGATGACTATCAGTTTGCGCCTTCCATTATTCCTTGGGCAGAACTTGTCAGATGTGGACATTCTTATTCCATTGTTGCAAGGACAACAGGTCTTTGCAGCTTTAATTAAAGTTATTTTTAATTGTCTGCTGTGTAGGGTGACCACCTAATCCATGTCAGGAGGGACACTATGAGCTACAACAGGATTTGTAAAATACCATTTCATACATTTCAATTAAAAGGACCAGGATTTCACTTAAGCACTGGGTTCTTGCCGTATGCTGATTGGTCAGTCTCCTATAATCATGCATATGCGTCGGTAATGTTAATGCGAAACAGCTGGATGAGGCTTTCAATCTAGGAACTAACCAAACATTTTAGCAGAGCACAGAATCCTTTCAGCTTTAAAGTAGTTCGTAAAAGCTGAAGTAGCTCATAGTGTCCCTCCTGACATGGATTAGGTGGTCACCCTACTGCTGTGGCATGACTGTGCCACTAGATGGACACTGTGAACTACTCATTGAACTTTACAACATTTGTCAAACTAAGATACCAGAATAAGAAAAGTCTCATGAAATGCACAGACCTGTTCTGAAGTGACTAATTTAAAAGCACAAAATCAGTCAGAAGTTTTTGCACACACTGAGATTTTCTACATTTGCATGTTGCTCACTTAACATTTACTAAAAATACACTCAATATTCATTGATAACAGATGAATATACAGTATGTTCACCATTTGAGTACCTTTATTAGGAAGAAAATGTCATATCTTTCATTTATCAAAGTAACCTCCTCTAGCAGTTATAACAGCAGAGGCACTCTTTCTACAAGGAACATTAAACACTGCTGTGTTTCATGGGATAAAACCGTTAACTAGTGCATTTAAAGTTAAAGGACGGCCTAGAATGTGACTATGACATCACCACATTACCAGTTAACAGGACATCAGAGATGCACTGTTACATATTCTTTCCATGTTATAAAGGAAACTTGTTTTATTTGACTTATATTTTCATTTATAGTTGTTCACTCAAGTTTCCAAAGCTTAACAAGAATAAAAAATCTGCAGTTTATGACATAAATGAATAAGTGGTAAAACCCCATGGTGTGTAAAACCTTTGACTGGTAGCGTATCTTCAGAATATTTAGGCACTAATCCACCACAAAATGGATTAATAAGGAAAAAAAAGTCTTTACACCCTTTATCTCAGAGAGTAAGCCGTCCGCAAAGGGCAGCCACCCATAGCAGCACCCAGGGAGCTGGGGGTTAAGGGCCTTGCTCAAGGACCCGCAGACATGCTGAGGCTGGGTTTGAACCAACAACCTTCTGATTACAAGCATACTGGCTTCGCCCACTGAGCCACACGCTGCCCCAGGGTTGATGGTGCCCTTCATGCCTCCTTCCTTGTGTTGGCCTGCAGCCATTGATGGCCAGACTGCCTTTCTCCTCCCTTGATCTCACCCTGGTTTATTTCCCACACCCTCTGGGCTGCTGCATCAACAGGCTGAGTGCGCAGCTCGGAGGGTCGCAGGATTGAGGCCTAGTCAAGAACCCACCACACCTGTTTTGTTTGATTATTGGTTTTATGTTCCCCTTGTGCGTATTAGTTCTTTATTTCCCTGTTAAGCTTGGTCCTTGTTTTATTATGCTCTGTGTATTCCGTGTTCACTTTCTCTGTATGGTATTCCCAACGTGTGAATAGTGTTTCTTTGTTTCAGTGTTTGTGGAGTTCCTAGCCCTGTATTCATTAATTTACGTCACCCCCCACCTGTTGCCTGTTTTCCTTGTGCCCTTGCTGTTGGTTAATTGTTTTATGTGCCACGCCTCCTCTCTTGTTAGCCTGGTTGTCTGTATTTAAGTGCCTGTTTCTATACCTGATCTTCGGTCTGCCATTGCCCCTGTTCCTGTGTTGTTGCCCTGCTTGGTTTTTTCCTAGTTCCTACTCCTTTTGTACAATGTGGTGACCTAATGGTTAGGGACACGCACTTGTAATCGAAAGGTTTCTAGTTTAAATCCCCAACCAGCAAAGTTTGCACAATATTGGTGGTTTGCACAATATTTAGCTTACAAGGCAACCACGGGCAATCATATTGCAATAAGTATATTAAACAGCAAACATCCCAAATGATGGGGGGGTAGACAATGAATATCACAAACTCCATAACCCTTGAGGGCGCAGAATGTTTTTATCGGTTTAATACTAGATCAGGGATACAGGAAACACATGCATTGCCATGGAAGCCAACTCTCACGCATCTGGCGTGACACACTTTTACAATATGACGATCACGCAAGGAATCTAACGGCAAATCTATATTACGGTAAGTAAAAACAGTCCATACAAAATATTGTATTTTGCACCATCTATTCCCTTTTATAATAGACCCCAAATATAAGACGAGACTACTACTTTAGACGTATATTGAGGGGAATAAAGTGTCTTATATTTGGGTCAACCCAGTACATTTATTTCAGAAATTCTATTACTTAAACAAGAAGACACCATAGGCACAATTATTGTGCAACTGAAGGAAATATGGTGTTTTTTTATTTAGGCTATTTAGGGGGGGGGCAGTTAATATAGAAAGAAGTCAGTGACAGTCTTCATTTTGTGTGTCCCCCCCCCACTATTCACCTCACCTGAGAATAATCTGTAGCCTCTATAGTGAGATGTAAGTCAATATGATTATGTAATATAAGACAATCCAACTGCTAACATATTACGCAACAATAATATAATGTGTTACACTGCCCCTGCAGAGCCAGAGTCTGTGGGGCACAAACGTCCTCATCTCCTCACAAGGCAAGCGTTGCATTCAGTGACCAGAAAAAGGCTATAGCACGTTTGAAAGGAAAATTAACAGATGCAGATGAATAAATGATCGCACAGTAACAGTAGAGCATGCGAGGTATCAGCGTTGCCCGTGACATCAGCAGAAGTGGGTAAACAGAACCGCTGGATCCGATGTCGTCCCATTTCTCCTTTTCCTGAAACGCCCAACAACCCACCTCTTACCGGATTTCTCATCGTATTTACACGCAACAATTTGGCCTACGGTCATTTAACGTTACGATCAACGTTACGATTACTTGGCGTTTCGCATTTCCTAGTAACCTCATATGACGTAACTGAGGGTAACGGGGGTCTTAACCTGCCGGCTGATTCCGGCCGTCCTCTCATGTTGATTGCCGAATGCTAGGTTGCGCGTTCCCAGGTGTGTTCCCATAATCTTTGGCTGTCATAAGACCGATTTAAGGGCAGTGAGGTAATCCTAGCAGCATGACTAAGACAGCAGTCGTCAGCTGATGATGCGCTGGAAGCTCACAGCGTGCAGCATGAATACTGGGTTGCCTGTCCCATCTGGGGTTACCCCCGGTGAAATGACTACGATATGTAGTCACCAAAATTGTTTCACTTCCCGCGCCATTTGTCATTTAGCCTTTGAGGTCCAAGTGACATTTCAACAAGGGTAAGCCCTGCATCCATCCACACCCAAGGGATGCTTAAGGATTAATTCGATATTATATTGAATGTGGTATAACATGCCCTTAAAAATAAAAACAAAAAAATCCACTCACACTTCGCTAACCATAACTTCACTTGATTGCCAAAAGCATTGAACTGTTAATCCAAAATCAACACGATGACATTCACTTCAGGGCTAATCTTCTCCACAGAAACCTATTACAAACACGCCCCAGGTTACGATGGGGTTATGTTCCAATAAACCTCTCCTAAGGTGAAAATATTGTGGAAAATGCATTTTAATACAGTAGGTGAGACCTGGGGTGATTGTAACATGGGCTAGTTGTAACAAAGTCTATTTCTCAAATCAGGAATGAGGTACAAATCACATGACTAACTGCACATGCTCAGTTTAGGATGCTCAGGATGGATGGATGGGTATTCGCCTGCGCTGTGGAGTCCATCCTCACAGGGAGTGTTGCATCTTGGTACGGCAGCTGCACTGCTCAGGACAAGAAAGCTTTGCAGAGGGTGGTGAAAACAGCTCAGAGGATCACAGGCACACCACTCCCTGCAATAACGGACATTTATAACACGCGCTGTCTCAGGAAAACCAAGAACATCCTGAAAGACCCCAGCCACCCTGCACTGGCACCTTTTACTTTCCTGCCATCAGGCAAGAGACTCAGGACAATTCACTCACGCACGACTCGACTCAGGAACAGTTTCTACCCCAGTGCTATCAGGCTATTCAACACACAGTAACTGCAACTTACTCCACACTATGCACTGACACCACACAGTAACAGCAACTTACTCACACTATGCACTGACACCACACAGTAACTGCAACTTACTCACACTATGCACTGACACCACACAGTAACTGCAACTTACTCCACACTATGCACTG